AGTAAAATGGTTTCATATGAGGTGTGCATATAGTATGGGACTTCCCCTATAAGAACTGCCCATTCATTTCTTCTACTTATAAGAAATGAGGTCTTAATACCCCTCTAAATCGAATAATGTCCCATATCTCGATTTCTACTAATCTTGCAATGATTTGAAAGATAGAAAAATATATTAATACAGAACTGTCAAAGACACCAATAAATAACACAAATAGAAGTACATAGAATTAAAGCAGAAGTACAAAAAAATCTCGAAAATGTCATCATTATATTATATCTCAATTCTGGGCATAGTTTTATGGTAAAAGGTTTTACATTGGCAAAGTAGATAGCGCTCTGGGCAGCGAATCAGGCAGTGATTGAGAGCGCTCTTGTAAAATGGCATTGGTCATTGTCAGATACAGTACATTTAGTACTGTACAGTATGTGCTGGGGGAAAATATGAACTAATCGAAGCAAATATGATCTAATTGAAGACTGTAACTGTATGTAGATAACCAGGTCCTGTAATGATTGGGCTAAATCAAGAAAACTTACGCAAGTATCCTGATAACAAGGATGATTGATGATAATGATGATTCCTACGAAATCATCTCAACAATGTAGTGTAGCAGCAGACAAATACTGATAAAATAATAATTTAAAAAATCTTTATATATCTTTTTATATCATTAAAATGAAATTGGAAGCCGCTAACACATGCTCACATCCACACTTGCAAGGCAACACTGTCACTGACGCATTCACTTCCAGGTCAAGAAGCTGTCAATCAAAAACTCAGTAGCCAATGAGAACACACTGCTGCTAGCCCCGCCCCCACGAGAGATTTGTGTCAGAATGGCAAACGAAAACTTCAGATGCGTAAATGAAAACTTCAGAAGCATAAACGGAAACTTTAGTAGCGTAAATGAAAACTCTGGAAGCGCATTTGTAAGTACAGATCAGCTAATGAAAGAAGAGAAAACAGTTGCAAAACATGCAGTGTATTAAAAACGAAGTCAAAGATTTTGCCTGCATTTAATTTTTTTTTTCAGTTTCAAAGACATTTTATTCAGTTTCAATTTATATTTTCATAAGTTTCTTGAAAAATTACATTCATTTTAATTGGCACAAAAGTAATCCCATAGAAAAGCTATTGATTTTCAATGGGAAAAGGTGATCTATTGAATTTGCAGAAGAACTTACTGAATCACATTCTTCTAAAAACTGAAATCCAGCCATACTCGAAAACAATAACCAACTTAGGAAAATAGGAATAGGAAAACTGTAAGATTTGTAATTTAGTCAAATAAACATTACAGGCTTACAACCTAAAATGTACCATGCCTGTTCTGTGTTTTCACTGTATGCATTTTTCCTAAACAAAAACATTAAAATGCTTCATCTCTTCCATTTCTTCATGGTAAGCAGGAGAAAATCAAATGCTGTGTGAGGCTCCTCCTTGTCACGTTGCATATCAACGTGACTGGAGTTCCTGAGCGCGCGCCCGAGCTGAACACTGGCTGAACATAAACAAGAGCAAAACACCGAATGTGTGTCACGCGCGGGGGTTCTGGGGGATTTGACCTACTTTCCACATACACCTCACTGCAACGTCAAACGTAGAAAAGGTACGTTCATTTTACACATAGTGTGTTGTTAGTAGCAGTGAGTAAAAAAATCTGTGTTATTTGACATGTTATAATTTAAACATTGAATGCAGTAGTGCTGCGCGGGTCACGTGACAACGGGCAGTCCTGCCATCAAAACAAACAACGCACTGCAGATGAGTTTATTAGTTTGAGGGCTTCGCTGCTCTTATTGTGGTTGTAGTTCAGGTCGTTTAGCTTCTGTCATTGGTCAGAAAGTGTATAGTAACGTGAACTGTAGATTTAATATCCCTCATCCAGAGCTCTGCTTTTACTCGAATGGTGAGTTAATCTTTTTTGGTTGTTGTTGATATGGAAAATTTCTGTATGCCTATACTTTTCACTGCAAAAGTACTAACGTTAGGTACTAGGTAAGTACTAGGTAAAAGTAAACTATCTATCTATCTATATATCTATCTGTCTGTATAGAGAGGATTTGAGATGCATGTCTTGTTTTATTGGCAATGATTGTTATTCGTAATTGGCAATGAGTGACAGAACACCTCGTCAGTCATTCCTGATGTTTTCTATTCTCTCGTGCGCGTGTGTAGTGTGTACTTGTGAAGTATAGTGTGTAGTGTAGTGTGTACTAGTAATTTGATAGGCGTGCCGCGCCTACTTTTTCGACGTAAACAAGCCTCGTTACTACTGCAGTGGTAATGACTAATGATGGTGTGATCGTACAATACAAATAAATGTATTTAAAATAACTTTTTTATGTCTCGTATATATTTTTTATTCATTAAAAATGTACATTAAAAGTGCAATTCATACATACAGCTTTTAATTTAATTTCTAAAATGATATTTTGGTGTATACCAAACTAAAGAAATCCTGAAGGAAAAAAACATTAATAAAAGGATTCTTTAAAATGAGTTTAAGTAATTTGGCATAATCTTAGCATTTCTTTAACAAAAATAGTTAGGAAAAATAAATAGGCAGTTTTTAAAACAGTTAATTTTATTTTAAAAACTTTGTTGGATGACGTTTTAAAATTTGATATTTATTTTTTAATGTTATTATTACTACTAAAATTTTTGAAAGAAATTGTAGTTATAAAAGTTTGTTTGTTTGTTTGTTTAAATATAGAGGAAAAAAGCCCCAATTAAAGGATTCTTTTAAAAAAGAATTTAACTATTTTGGAACAAATCTGCTAAATAAGTAATTTAGCAGATTTTAAGAAAAGAAAATTATTTTGAAAACTCTCCACCAAATCAAAGTCATCTAGCAAAGTCAGGCAACTTATTTCTTGATCTTTCTAAACTTTTTTTGTTTACATTATTTGTTTTCAAGGTGTAAAATTTTATTACCACTTGACATTTATAAAATCATTAAACTAAAATGCTATAAAATAAAAAGAAGAAGAAAGAAAAAATGAAAAGCAAAGAAACAAAAAGTTAATGAAAATGATTTTTATTAATAGTTTTAGTTAACAATACAATTCCTTAAATTTAATTAAAAAATAAAAAAAAATCTCAGTTCTATTTGGAATGGTGCACAATCTTTTTTGCATGCACACATACACACTCTTGGCATTTTTCATCAGCACAGAGAGTATATAAGAATATTTATTTATCATTGACTCATACACATTGACCCCAAAAAGTAACTGGACAGTTACGTCACACTTACAATGTCTGAATGTCTTTGCATTAGATTAAAAAATATCAAAGCTAGTCAGATGCTACTAGAACATGTCCGTCATTAATGTGATCCACTACTCTTTTGCTTGATCTTCCTGGACACCTGTGCGAACTTACAGAGAACTGGCTTCATATATCTACTAAAAATCACCAATATGCCAGTCATGACATCATGACAAATGCCAAGACATTCCACACATATGATTTTGTTATCTACATTAGTAAAAAAAATGTACTCTAATGTGCTCTAAATTGAATTCTTTTAGGGCATTTCTTTCCTTTGTCCCAGGAACATGTCCTTGACACCAGATGCATGTTATTTTGGGTTGCTGGAAGGGCAGGAGGAGGACATTAAGCCTCAGGCAGCAGTGGTTCGGCGGAACTTGTTTGGCCCAGTGGACCACCAGCAGTTGCAGCAGGACTTCCAGAGGCTATTCTGCATGAATGTTGAGATCGCCAAACAGCGCTGGAACTTTGACTTTCAGAGGGACCAGCCAGTCCCCGGCTGCATTGAGTGGGAGGAGCTGCAGTGCCAGGATGTGCCAGTGTTCTACCATAGCTGTGTGGTCAGGCCTGGTATGGCAAAGCAAACAACAGTGGAAGCTTGTTCGTCTCCAGCTATGGCCACAGAGAAATATCTGGAGCTGCGGACCAGAGGAACTTTGAGGGGAACCAAGTCAGAGAAGAGAATGGCTGCATTGCTGGGGGTCAAACACACACAAGCAAACATCACAGGTGAGACGGTAGATTTAGTTGTCACATTTCATTCTCAAGGTCACTCGGTTATGGCCAGACTAATGTAATTGGGACTTTGATCAAAACTATGTGGTATTTTTATATTACAATTCTAAAATGTATTTTTCTCTCTCTTTCAGACTTTTTCAGAGTGACAAAAAGAAGGTTTCCAGATCACAAAGCTTCATCAGGACAGTAAACAGACATTGGACCTTTTTGTATAAATGTACAAACACTATCGGCACATGTAGCTCTTCTAACTGACCAGCAATGGCTTAATAGGATGTATATACTGTACATACACACACACAGATACATGTTATATACACAGATGTGTATGTACAGTGGGTACGGAAAGTATTCAGTCCCCAATTCCAGGTGTGAAAAACTTGTTGCATCAAAAAGACTCATGGCTGTATTAGATCAAATGGGTGCTTCTACTAAATACTGAGCATTTTTCAGTTTTTCTTTTTTAATAAATCTGCAAAGATGTCAACAATTCTGTGTTTTTCTGTCAATATGGGGTGCTGTGTGTACATTAATGAGGAAAAAAAATTAACTTAAATGATTTTAGCAAATGGCTGCAATATAACAAAGAGTGAAAAATTTAAGGGGGTCTGAATACTTTCCGTACCCACTGTATATATTTCACTACACGCAGTGCCTATTAAAGGTACCTATTTTATTGTTACAACATGGAATCATGAGATTTAAATACATGTAAAAACTTAAATGACTAATATGCAGATCTTATAGTGCATTTGAATAATTCGAAGCAATTAATTCCAGTAATTGAATGAGAATTTACTCTCTTGCCAAATCAACTAATACATTTGAAATTCATGACTAAATGAAAAAGACATTTTTTTAAATATATTTTATTGTTCCATGTTGTTACACAATAAGTTCTGAAAATGTTAGGAATGCACTATATAAATAGTGTGTTCTTTATTTTTTTGTAGTGCACTGAATATACAGTATATATACATAAACAATAACTGTGAACGTTTACAGAAATGCACTATAAAAAGACCGTTTGGTATTAAACTTAAGTGGCATCAGTGCACACAATCTATAAGCTAACAATCTATTACCATTATTCTGTTCCACTTTTATTTATTTATATTCCTGTTTTTATATATTACAAAAAAGGATAACACTTTAGTTTGGGGACCATTTCTCACTATTAACTAGTTGCTTGTTAGCATGCATATTACTACCATATTGGCTGTTTATTAGTACTTATCACGCACATTATTAAGCACATTATGCCTTATACTGCATGACCATATTTTAGATTCCTTAATCCTACCCAATACCTAAACTTCTACCTAAACAACTACCTTACTTGCTATTAATAAGCAGCAAATTAGGAGTTTGAGGCAAAAGTTATAGCTAATAGTTAGTTAATAGGGAGAATTGGTCCCCAAGCTAAAGTGTAACCCAAAAACAAGGTATGTAACCTGAGCCATTAATGCTTTTCAAAAAGCATATAAATGTGGGAGTAAATGTGAGACATAAGGTATACTTTGATATCTTTGGAGTTATGTAAAAAAAATGTTTAAAAATGTTTTTAAATGGATATTGCCCTTAAAATATTATTTGAGGAGTGTCCGACCAAGTTTCTTATGTGCATGAGGCTCCATCTTGCACACCTGGGGAAAATGGAATGATATGTTGAAAAGCTACCTTATTATGTGTCTTAGGTTTGAATATTACTTGTAGTATTACTACAAGTATCAATTGCGAGGACATTTTCATAAATCATTTCTACAATACTTTTTTTTAATATTACTGTATTTTTGCTTTGTGCATGTGAGATATAAGGTATGATTATGTGCTGAATTAGCCATACATTTGAGATTTTTTGATATTAAAGAGGCAGCTGACGCAGTTAACCAAAGTAATTGCTACACAATAAATAGAATGCTTTAAAGTAACTGTATGTAATTTGTAATTTTCTTTTTAACCTTAATCTCAGTTTTAAAATCATTCTAATGGTACACTGATTTCTAACAAAGCGATAAGCTTCTGTTTCTTTCCCCCATTCCCCTTAAACATCTGTTTGGGAGTATGTAATTGTCGTGACCAGGTACGAAATTCCATGTAAAGGGCGGATTCCTAATCGGCAGCAACAAGCGATATATTTAGGACGGTGAATTCCACTCACAAAGTCACAGAAATACACGAAACTACATACAGTTGCTTTAATTCCCTTTGAATAGTTGTTAGGAACATCAAATTAAGCCAATAAACCAAACCCACGTGCTGATAGTTAAACTGCCTAATTTGTTTTGTAGAATTCTAATTTAAGTTTCAGCTTCCTTAAGACAGATGAGTTTATTTTTATTTTGTTATTTTTTTGCATTCATTGCAAACACACATGCTAGACATTTCTCATATGTTCAGTGACTTCCTCTTAAAGCAATCCATTAAATTGTAAATCTTTTTAAAATATATTAGTGCTCTACCTCATCAAAAGACAAGGACCTTCATTTTATACACAATCACATATGTATGAGAAAACAAATATTTAAAATTTTCTACACACCAAATATGTAGCAAGGTTTACATGATATTGTGTGTGTACTTTGCTCCTGTTCTGTTTTACTTTTAAAAAACTCACGGTTGCCTTATGCTGTGCCATTTTTTGGGGGAGAAATATTTCAAGTGCCTCTTTATATCACCAATTAAATATTGTATTATGCACTATAATGATGACATTAGTGGCTTTTACCCCACAGCTTCTGTTGCAGATATGTTCACCGTATTCTGTTCTTTGCATGGTATCTTGTGAATTAGTAGCCATGTATACTCCAATATGATTGAATGTTACTTGTTAAAACATGTTAGTGTTATTGTACAAAGCAATTTTATTTGTAAGTGTCTTTATTTGATTATAATAGAATATAGAGTATAAATTAGTTTCATATTTTTCATTAATTTTATAGTTTTCACAGCTGTGATCCCGCTGTCCCATTTATACTGTCTATCTATACCAGGAGTCACCAAACTTGGTCCTGGAGGGCTGGTGTCCTGCAGAGTTTAGCTCCAACCCTAATTAAACACACCTGAACCTAATCAAGGTCTTGGGTATACTTGAAACTTCCAGGCAGGTGTTTTGAGGCAAGTTGGAGCTAAACTCTGCAGGACACCGATCCTCCAGGACTGAGTTTGGTGACTCCTGATCTATACAGTCCTATTAAAATAAAGGTTAAAAAATACCATAAATATAACTTTAAAAAACTTAAAATTTTGTACTTGAATGATCAGTGATTTCAATAGAATTTTGCCAAATCACTCTTTCTGCAAAACCTTAAACTAGTTCAGACAGTTTAGACACTGTTTGCAGATCTCATGCACTCTTTTTTGCAAAACTTTAAACACATTCTCACTCACTAAAATGCAATTTGCACTGTGATAAACTTGTGATGCAAAACCCTAAACACAAGAAAGAAAAAGTTAAGCACAACTGCAACACGATTGTCATCATTTACACAATAATTCAAAACTGTTCACACTTGTTTTTACATATGTGAATGTACAAGCCAGTTCAAAGTGCACAGATGGCATGGGTGCATCCATCAATCTGAGAGGTATGGAAGAGTGTGTATACGAAGAGGAGGATGAGGAAGAGTAAGACCAATGAAATCAGAGCTACTGTGATAGACCATGTTTGAGTTTGTGCTTGCCAAACACAAGTTACTTCATTTTTTTTACTTTTAATGAAAAAACAGATGTCTATGGTATTGTTTGTCAACTAAACCTTAAACACGTTCAGGCAGTTAGGCTCTATTTGCAAATCTCATGCACTCTTTTTTGCAAAACTCTAAACACATTCTCACTCACTAAAATGCAATTTGCATTGTGATAAACTTGTGATGCAAAACTCTAAACACAAGAAAGCGAAAGTTAAGTGCGTATACGAGGTGGAGGAAAAGGAGGACGAGGAAGAGCTAGACCAAGAACAGTCATTTCAGATGAAATCAGAGCTACTGTGATAGACCATGTTCTTGTGCATGGAATGACAGAGGCAGGACAAAGCATTCAACCTAAACTGAGCAGATTCTCTGTGGCCACCATAATCAGTTGTAAAATTCAGAGAACAGCAAGAGAAGAGTGGAAGAGAATCTTGTGTGTTGTGTTGTAGAATTACAAGGCTAACACGTTAGGGTGGAAGAACTGGCCTGTGGTGACATAAATGTGCTGTCTTCTCAAGGCTGGATCCACCACACCAGAGGGTTTTCTTTCCTATTGCTTGCCTGCGACGTAGATGAATTCTCTGATTCCTTTTTATATGTATGTAAAAACTTTTTTTTTTTTGTAACTCCATGCACTGGACACTGTTTTCTCTATTTTTTTGATGTAGTGTCTAATAAATGATCTGTGGTGTGTATATTATTGACTAATGTGTGTATGATTTGAAAGCTTTGTTTGATTTTGAGTACAGGTGAAATGGTTTTGAAGCCATTGCTTGATTTTGCCAGAAGAGTCAGGGGTCCTGTGTATTTAGTTTAAAGGTTAGTTTGTGTATTTGTGTTTAAGCTTTTGAGAAAATGAGTGATGGTTTCAATAAATGTGTTTTAGCAATTCAGAAAAACTGTAATCAGTTAAATAATTTTAAAATATGTATTGTATTGACAGCCCTTGCAAAACCTCCACCCAAGCAGTATTAGGCTAGAAACATGCAAGTGCACAAGGTTTTGGTTTAGGGCATTGCCAGTTTCCACTGCTTATATTATTAGTTATATTGAACTGGTTGCGTCAAACATCAGCATTTAAAAGGACTATAGAGTTACCTTCAAATGTGCTTTTAAACCATTTATTAGGTTTTTAGGTAAGTTGAAGTTAACTTGCCAGCTAAATAGTTTAAAGATGTATTTTTACTGAGCATTACAGTAGTTGAAGCAAAATTTTATTTAAAGAAATATTATTTTGTCAATAAAGGATTCATCATGTCAACTTTGATCAAGTTAGCTGGAGGTAAACTTGTTAAATCATCTAAACCAACGACATGTATGTTAGACCCAATTCCATCTAAGCTCCTAAAAGAGGTGCTTCCAGAAGTCATAGATCCTCTTCTGACTATTATTAATCCGTCATTGTCATTAGGATATGTACCGAAAACCTTCAAACTGGCTGTTATTAAGCCACTCATTAAAAAAACAAAACGTGATAACAAAGAACTAGTTAATTACAGACCGATCTCGAATCTCCCTTTCCTGTCCAAGATACTAGAAAAGGTATCCTCACAATTATATTCCTTAGAGAAAAATGGTATTTGTGAGGATTTCCGGTCAGGATTTACACCGTATCATAGTATTGAGACTGCTCTCATTAGATTTACAAATGACCTACTCTTATCATCTGATCGTGGTTGTATCTCTCTATTAGTGCTACTGGATCTTAGCGCTGCGTTCGACACTATTGACCACAACATTCTTTTGCATAGACTAGAAAACTTTGTTGGCATTAGTGGAAGTGCATTAGCATGGTTCAAATCGTACTTATCTGACCGCCATCAATTCGTAGCAGTGAATAAAGAGGTATAGAGGTATATATATATATATTATACACGCTCACATATATACGCACACACAAAGAAAAACAAGTAGATAAAATACGGACAAGTAGTAGGATGATTGGAAAGGATGAGTTTAGAGACTTCTGCCTCATAACAGCTTTCACTGTTATGCTGATGATACTCAGCTCTATATTTCTTTGTGGTATGTTGTGAAACATACCAATTTGAAAAACTAACGGAATGCATAGTCCTAATGCATAACTCGTTCTTATTCCGAGGTCACCGTAGCCACCAGATCCAGTCTGTATATAGATCAGATGGTCACTGCAGTCACCCGGATCCAGTCCGTATCCAGCCCAGATGGTGGATCAGCACCTAGAGATGTGACCTCTACAGCCCTGAATGTCAGCAGAGACCAGGACAACTTGATGAGCCCCAGAAACAGATCCCCAGTGAAGACCTTGTCTCCTAGACCACCCTCCCTTTGGCTTTAGTGTTGATCAAGCGAGTGGGTGACCTGTAAGCACTGTCAGTCAGTGCTTCCTGTCTTGAGTTTGGGCCTAACGACTGTAGAGTCGTCCTCAAACCGAGACACAGCTATGTGCCGAAAGTGCTCTCCACACCATTT